AATCTCTTATACCACTGCCTTGGAGACTGCTTAAGCCCATATAAGGACTTCCTCAACTTGCAGACATGATTCTCCTTTCCCGGAACTTGGAAACCATCTGGCTGAGTCATGTATATCTCCTCTTCTAACTCTCCATGTAGAAAAGCAGTCTTCACGTCTAGTTGCTCAAGCTCCAAATCCTGATGTGCAACTATTGCTAGTAGCACCCTGATAGAAGTATGTCTGACCACCGGCGAGAAAATCTCGTTGTAGTCTACTCCCTCTATCTGATTGAACCCCCTTGCAACTACCCGAGCCTTATACTTAATACCCTCAGTCGGTGATATTCCTTCCTTCTTTTTGAAAACCCATTTGCAAGTGATTATCTTTCTCTCTGTCGGCAATTTGACCAACTCCCAGGTCTGATTCTTGTGAAGAGACTCCATCTCGTCCCCCATTGCAGCCAACCAGTGTGCTGACTCAGTTCCTGAAATTGCTTCCTTGTAGGTGGACGGCTCATGAAGCTCCACTTCCTCAGCAACTTGCAATGCATAGCCCACCATATCATCAAACCCATACCTCTTTGGAGGTCCAACTCCAACCCTTCTTGGTCGGTCAAACGCAATGCTGTGCTGAAAACCTTCAGATGTTTGATTTTCTGGTGGTGTAGATTCTGGCAGATTAATTTTTGGTTGTAGTAATTGATTACCGACCAACTTCTGTGCTTCGCTCTCCCCTTGAGTAACTTGCACCTCCATATGTCCATCAACAACTTCATTCCCTGCTACAATAATGGACTTCACCATAGGGTTGAACATAGAACTCTCATCAAAAATTACACTCGTACTAAGTATAACCCTATTCTCAGATGGAGACCAGATTCTATATCCCTTCACCCCTTCTCCATAGCCCATGAATATTCCCTTTTTAGCCCTTGGCTCTAGCTTACCTTCATTGACATGATAGTAAGCTGTACAGCCAAAAACTCTCAGATTTGAGTAATCAGCAGGCTTTCCCTAAGTCGATGCCTGTGTGTGGTCCCCGGTTTGTTATGTAACATGCTGTTGTAACTGCTTCTGCCCAGAAACGTCTAGTTAGACCAGCGTTAGAGAGCATGCACCCCGCTCTCTCTAGAAGTGTCTGATTCATGCGCTCTGCTACACCATTCTGTTGTGGTGTATCCCTGACTGTGCGGTGTCGAGCAATTCCCTCATCCTTGCAAAACACATCGAACTCAGATGAGCAGAATTCTAGACCATTATCAGTTCGCAGCCTCTTGATCTTCTTCCCAGTTTGATTCTCCATTAGCGTCTTCCACTGCCTGAAGTTCTTAAACGCTTCATTTTTATGCTTCATCATGATTACCCAAGTCATCCTTGAGTAATCATCGATTACCGACATAAAAAATCTGTGACCGCCCAAAGACTCAACGCGAGACGGACCCCAACAGTCTGAATGGATGTAATCCAGTGTTCCCTTTGATCGGTGAACTGCCTTTGGAAACTTGCTGCGGTGTAGCTTTCCAAAAACACAATGCTCACAAAACTCAAGGCTTTTGATCTTGTGACCACCAAGAAGATCTTCCTTTGACAGAATTTGCAGCCCTCTTTCACCCATGTGTCCAAGTCTCATATGCCATAACCTGTTCAAATCATCCTGGTGAACCACAGATGACGCAACAGCTACAGAACCA